GGGCACCGCGGCCGCGGCTGCTTCCGCCGCCGCCGCCGCCGCGCGCCTCTTATAGGTTTTTAACCCCTATTCCTTTACTGTCACTTTAGCGGGGTTTGAAAATGGAACAAAAATAGGGTCCAGCAGCCAGCGTGGTAGTTAACAACACTGGACTCCCACACGGCTGACCATGGTTAAGAGTCTCAAACCCAGCAGCCTGAAAATCACACCAGGTGCATGTGCATCCATGTCCAAAATCCCAGGAGGGGAATGGAAAAGTGACTGTGGAAGGCCATCCCTCCCGCCCCCCGGGGAGGGATTTCTCTGTCTCCCTCTGGCGAGTGCACATGCCCTATAGCATAAACCTTAAACAAAATGGAGCAAAGATAAATTTATGTGTTTACCACACCACATTCAACCAAAAGTTCTAAAATAATTCCTTAATCACTCGCGTGACAAATATTTAAGTGCTTGACAGTGCACCCTTGAGGATGTAACAATAAAGACACAAGCTCTGTCTTCCTGCAGTTCACATACAGTCTAGGAAGAACACAGACTATGCACAAGAAATTCCACAGGTGCTGAAAACAGAAGTCCAGGATGACACAAGGAGTTACCAACAGACAGACCTAGCCATGGCCTGGCCGACAGAGAATAAGGGAAGGTTTCCTGGAGGAAAGTGGCCTAACACCAACAATTTTTCTCAAAAAAAAAAAAAAAAAAAAATTAAGCCTATGAAGGCCTGGTGGGACAGCTTACCGGCGCTGGATCTGCCTTGCAAAATTGTTGCTAGAAGCTGAGCAAGGAAACTGGACTTCGCTGTGCAGCGTGGCATTACGGAAGAGGTCACAGAAGTTCTCGAAGAGCTCCAGAAGCTCATCTGACGTATTCTCGAACACGGCAATCACCTCTGTAGTCACCATGTTGTACACCACAAAGAAAGATGCCTTCGGGAGAGAGCGGTAGGGGATAAACTGAGTATCTAACGTGCTTGGCGGACTTTTCACTTGGCTGAACATTCAAGCCACCCACAGGAGACAAGCAAACGACTCAGCCTTAGCACTAGGATGGTGACACGGTTCCAAGTGGTTCTGGGAAAGGAGGAAGCATCAGTGAGCTTTATCACTCAGAAGCCTGAGTCTTGCCAGATTTCCCACTCTGTCTCTGCTGCTAGAATTACAGCGTTGGCCAGCATATATGGATAAAAAGTGTTTTCAATCTTTTACTTCAAACTGTGCAAATTCAGTAGTTTTTCTTCCAAGTGTTTATTCCCTACTTGCTCCCCAACCCACCCTGAGATAAAAAACACTTTTTTAAAAATGCCAGATTTAATTTTCTTTCCTGCAGAGAAAGTGATTTGCAGCCTAGGGATGCCTGTTGGCAAATTATTTTCTGTTGTATGTGTACAGTTGAAAGTTCAATTCAGGGGCATTTATTTTTCCCTCTTAATATTTCTAACATGCAGAGAGACGCCTTAAGTACATTGTGTTCTGAAACTGCCCAGGCAAGTTGTATCCAAGCAGGGTACTACGGCGGAACAAATAAAAAATCAGAGGCATTTTCCATTTCTTTCTTCATAAGTGTTCTTTCAGCCAAGAGCATTTGTAAAATACATTGGAGATTTGTAGCAATTAAGATCAGAGGGGGAACCTGAAAAGCATTCAAATGCCATAGGTGGCAGAGTTACTGCTTTTTCTGAATGGGCCCCTTGGTGACTAGCCCTCTTCCTTTAAACCTCCAGAGCTCGGCTCTGCCTAGCACAGAGCTCCGGGAACTCCTAGTTTGGGTCACAGTGAATGTAGCGGGGTGAATTAATCTGCAAGCTTCCAGCAGGACTCTAGAAGTTTTCAAAACACTAGGATTAGTATTTCACCCTCCTACGATTGCGTTTAAATCTCCATTACCAATTTCTGGAGCCATTTGGCCCACCTGTTTTACTAGTAATTAGTTCTTCCCAGAGCTTCTATTACATGGCTTTTGCAGTCACCTGGAAATTAAATTTGACTGTAAATTAAAGAGGCTGGAGGGTAACCTGAGAATAATACTCATAATATTACTAAGGCTTTGTGTCTGGATGCACTTTTTACTCATTACCTTTATTGGAACCTATCAAATTAAAATAGGAGAGGAGTGAAGAGGACAACCAGGGCAGACAGACTGGGTTTAGAGTTACAAACTGTAAGCACAGGACAGAGCCCTAGTAATGTCTCTAGCTTGCATTTATTATAGCTCTCCGGGAAAAAAAAAGGGGGGGAGGTTGCCTTTTAGCAAAGGGAAGAAGGTGACCATCTCAAACGCAGCCATCATAGACAGCTTATTCCCTCCAAAATAAAAGACAATTATAGTTCAAACCTCACCAAGAAATCGACTTGTGCCCTTTCTGTAGACCTGAACAACCCTTGGATCATTATCAGGGCCTTGCCAGGATCTCTCATCATGTGAACAAGAACTGTACAAACATCCACTCGCCTTCCCTCCAGGGAAGACTGGGAAATAGAGGACAGGAGGGCAGAGAGGTCAACGGGCACCACCACCAGTCTCCCACGAGATGCTCAAGCGTCATAACTCAGTGGGTGGCTTCACTGTTCACACAGAAGAAAAAGAAACCGGAAAAAAAAAAATCCCTGGCCATATTACTCCCCTCTTTTCAAGCACATACAAGCTATGATTCAGAAGAAAAATACTGGGAAGTATTTTACCAGGGGTGGTTGACAGCTTAGGAGATGATGCCCGGTACGGTACCTCTAACTGGCAGAATCAGCTGCTGGTCGGTAAGATACCAGACTTAGCTAACTTCATGGTTCAGTGGTTGGCTGGCTGTTCTCAGTTTCCAAACTAGTCTTTAAAGAGTCAATCTGGAAACAGGAGAACGGGTAAGGGAGGCAAAAGTACAAAAAATTAGGTCTCTTACTTGGTCAGTACCAAAGTGCTGCTCTGTCCAAGGCCAAATGCCCAAATTACACTGAATTTCAGCATGGCCGATCAACCCAAGAGTCTGAGTAGTTTCTGTGTTCTTTATACCACCTTGTTCCATTTTGAGAAATGCCTCTCTCCCTTACCAACATCTTTCCACAAACTGAAAAACCTTCGAGGCCTGCAGTCCTGAAGATTCTCTGGGTGGAACAGAAATTTTGGCTTCCTTTTGATCTTTCTACTGCTCTACAACCTAATGTTTAACACAGTTACAGTTCAGAGTACAGTCACTAACCTTACTTCTGCCAAATGAACATACCTATTAGTTACCTTGTAAATAGAACTTGACAGGGAAATAAACGGCTTAAAAGAAAAA